GGGGGGGCTCAGCCTGCCACCCCCTGCTGGGAGAGTCAGCCGAGGCAGGGGGCAACTGGGCAGCTTGTGGGGGGGGGCAGCTTACAGCGGGTGGAGCCAGCAGGGACCACGTGCCAACTCCTGCCCACACCTGCCTGGCCCAGAGAGATCCCACAGGCACCTCCAAGGGGTGAGGCAGGGACTTCCCATTCACAGGTGGCCACTTGGCAAGGGGGGATCTGACCACAGAGAGTGGGTCTCCCCACTTGGAGCCTCAAAAGCCACGGACACGGCTGGTCCTATGCTCTGAGCACAGGGCACCAACCTGGGCAGCAGAGGGCACCAGGCACTTCCCCTTCTGGCCAGGGTCCCTCTGCTCTCACACACCAGTTCCTGTCCCAGGTGACTCCCCAGAAGGGCCACCTACCAGGAGGGACCCATGCACCAGAGCCGCCAAGCCATGGCACCACCCAGCCCTGGTCCCGCTCTCAAGCAGCCCACTGACCCCACCCTGGCTGGCCTCCCCCCACACAGCCTGGCGCCGCAGCTGCTCACCTGGCTAAACTGCCCAGGACCCAGCCCAGCCTCCTCGGAACAGGGTCACCCACGAGCTCCCAGCAGCCCCCCGCATTAGCCCCACCTCCCCACCCAGCCCTCAGCTGAGGTCCCTGAGCTCCCACCCCACCCACTGCCTGGCCCCCAACGGGGCACTGGTGGAGCCCCAGGGGCTCTCGGGTCATGGGGTGAGCCCTGGACAGGGCAGAGGTCAGGCCCTTCCCCTCCCCCCCTCCCTGTCCCCGGAGAGCAGCTGAACTCACACACACTGCCCCCTGGGCACTGCCTCGCACGGGCCCACGGCCGAGCGCCAGCCAGCATGGTGGACCCTCTGGCACCACCAGCCCCAACCAGCCTCCTCTTCCTAAGTGGACGGCCTCGGGGGCTGCTCATGGCCAGAGCTGATGGACACAGGCCCGCCCTCACTCCTGGGGAACCCCCCACCGCACCAAGGGCTCGGAGGAAGAAACTCATTGTAAAACTTATTAGAAGACAATGGGCAGGTGTACCTTTACGGTTGGCACAATTTGAATATGTTTCCTTCCCTCCAAACACGCCAAGATTTAGTCCCTTGTGGGATTTCAGGATTGGGACCAGGCAGGGCCGCTAAGAGGTGACGAGCGCCCATCCCTCCTGGTGGTTGGTGGGTGAGGGCTGACCGGCTGTCTTGAGAGTGGCCTGGCCTCTCTTGCTCCCTGCCTCTGGCCACCGGGTGTCCTGCACTGCCTCAGGAAGAAGCCCAACAGTGCGGGCCCTGACCTTGGGCCAGAACCTCAAGCTGAAATGAACCTCTTTTCTTTATAACCTCGCCTAGTCTTCTGTGTCCTATCACCACCAACACAAACGGACTGGAACACACCATCACAGAGAGAAGGCATCTCCGGGAAAGTATATGAACTACACTCCACAGTGAGCCGTGAACCGTGAACCGTGAGCCTGGGGTGCGAGTCTCATTGCCCGTGCTCTCCACATGGCCCTGTGCACAGCTGCCCGCCTCTGCTACCTCTGCTGGCCACCTACCTGCTCTCTCCTGGCACCTTCCCACAACAGCACCTGCTCCTTCCTGTCCCACTCTGCCCCGTCTCTGTGGCCTGTCCCCAGAGTGGAACACTGGTGTGGAAGCCCTGGCCACATCTCTGTTCTGTGCCCTCCTGTCCCCTGCCACCTCCCCTGGCTCCCAGTGCAAAAACCTGCCCTGTTCCAGAATGTCCCCCACGGTCTTGCCCTGCCTCCTCCTGTCCAGGGCCCCTGCTCCCCTGCTGCCCACCTCCCAGAGACCCTGTCCCTCCAGGTCTGCTCATCCCTCGGGGTCTGCCCGCCCCTTGCCAGGGCAGAAAGAGCTCCCCGCCCTGGCCTGGCACGTGGTGTGCACAGACTACTGGGCACCTTCTGCTGGGCCTCCTCTGCTGCACAAGGGGGCGTGCCAACCTCGGACACTGGGAAAGGCACCCTCCTGCACGTGAGTCCTCAGCCACCACCCTGGGGCACAGCGCTATCTTCTCACATGTGACATTTGTCATCCCCACTTTACCACCATAAATCCAAGTCCCCAGAGGTCACATCAGGGACCCAGGGACAAGCCCAGCTGGGCCCTCCCCATGGAACTTCCCCGGGAGGGCACCAAGGAGGTCTCCAGACTGCAGCTCAGGGGCTCTGAACGTCCAAGACTGTCTCCACCAGAAAGTGCCCCATCTGCCAATGGCAGCCCCTGCCCCAGACGCGGACCCCAAGGGCGGTGGACCGAGGGCAGCGGGGCAGGGCACACTCACAGGGGGAGCCCGTCCCGCACTGCGTAGGCCCCGTGGAAGCTGCGGCGGTCCCTTGGTCCATCCAGGGTGTTGAAACTGATCCTGGACAGAGGCTCCGGGGCACTGGGAGCAAAACAAGGGCCCACGTCCCCGTGAGAGGAGGGTGGGGGCAGAGGGCCTGGGCTCAGCCTCCACCTGAGCCTGGGGTGACCAGGCCCTGGGTGGCAGAGGGGCCTCTGGCCATAGGCCATGCCCCATGCCAAGAGGCGCTGGGGGCTGAGCAGGGAGACCCTCCAGGCTGGCCCCAGGTGGATTCTTGGGGTCCTCTGTGGAGGTCCTCTAGGGAGGATGAGCAGGGGCCACTCACTCTCCCACGGGATCCACGAGGGCTGTGTCCTTCCTCTCGGCCGTGTAAAAGGGAGGGTCATAGATCGCAAACTCCAC